AATCCCCTATTTTTATTATCTTATTAGGCATTGTCGTCTTCTTCATGAATTTTCTTTTAAATTAATTCTCGATAATATTGTTCCTAATGATTTTTGTACCAACTAATGTAGTGTTACCACAATCATCAAATGAGTGGTGAAGTTTATGAATCAAACTGTCCATATAGAAAGTAATTGGAAATTTAATAAAAATCGAGTAGTCCAACATTTTTCAAGTCATAGACTTACGACCACAAGCAAAAAAACAATAACCTACAAGCACCCACCGATGGTCCAAGTTTCATTTTTTGGGGGTAAATATCAAAGTGTTCATATCCACATGAATATGTCCTTTGACAAAACGTGGGACCACATTTTTCCCAAAAAAGGAAAAAGAGTTGGAGGTAAAAAAAAAAAAGTAGGTAGTCTCGTCCCATATGTAGAATTTACAATTGTCCCAATTTTTTAGAAATATTTTTATCTTATTATTCGAGATATTGGATAAAAATTATAAGAAATTATAAGGAAATATAAATAATTTTTTCCTAAAAAAATCTAAAATAAGTGATAATTAATTAATGGGGTAGAAGAGTGGTTACATGAAAACATATGATAGAATGTGATTGGTCTTATCAAGGATAAGACTAATTATTGTTATTTACAATTGATTCTGATATATTTTTATTATTATAAAGAGTTACAAATCAATCTTATCAACAATATATTTTTGATATATAAAATCACGATAACAACCTTTCATTTATAATTCTATAATTTACTACATAATTATACACATTTTTATACAATAATAAAATATCCGTACAATTTTTTTAAAAAATATAAAGCAACATCAATATGTTCAAAATATATTTGGACATATCAGAAACGTGTCTAAAAATTGACAATAATATTAATTGCACATAATTTGAGATTTAATTGGTGGAGATCCAATAGTTTGTGACAATTGGATAGATAATAGAATTTATTAAATACTGAAACTCAATATTACACTTAATATCACAATACATTAAATTTTTAAATTAGGTCTCAATAATATCGTTTGAAAAGTTAACAATCATTTAGGTAAGAATCTATTCAAATCGATATCACCAAAACATAATAATAAAGTGAATACAATTAAATATATCTAAATTTTATTTTAAAAAATACGTATCTAATATAAATTGTCCAATTGATAGACCATGATTGAAGAATATTATTTTTAAATTTTTTTAAAAATATAAAACTTGTAAATTAAGAAAATTGTGTGGGAAATACAGATATATATATATATATAGACTTAGAAAGATCGACGAGGTTAATGGTTGATATTAATCGTAATCCCACTAATAAATTTTAAAATTACCCAATTTAAATATTGTTGTCCCCCATGCTGCAACAGTGTCTGAAAAAGACATATTCCAAATCTGGCCCACTTGAATCTTCCAATCATCTACGTGGGACCTCTAAATATCCCCAAAAAAAAATCAGACCCGTCCGATTGGGACTGGACTACGGTACATCCGTCGAGAATTTTGGTACTATACCAAAAATTTTAAATTACAATATTAATAGTATCTTTACTAAATTGATCGTATATTTACACCGATTGGTAGATAATATAAGACATATTTTTGAGCTGTCATTAAGTTAATTGAGGACAAAATTACAACATTTGTGGGAAGTTTAGGACTATAGTGAACAAAATTATAACAATAGTGAATAAAATTATAAAATTTGTGGAAATATTTACAACTTTAGTGGTATGTTTACCAAATTTGTGAGAATATTTACAATTTCAATGATATGTTTACCAAATTTGTAAAAATATTTATAACTTCAATGAATTCAAATATTTACAACTTCATGGAGAGATTTGATCTATCGTAGGGAGATTTGATCGATCACAAACTTATTGTTTTTCAAAAAAATTTGGGGGAGACTACTTCAACCTTGTGATAGATTACAAGATCTTAGGATAGATCGCAAATATTTTGGAGATAAAAGAAAATAATAATTTTGATATATTCTAAAAAATAATAATAATTGCCACTTTTATTTACTACTTTTATGGGAATATTTATAATTTGAATGAATTCTTTATAAGAATAATTACAACCTCAGTGGTATGTGTTACCAAATTTATTTGTTTAATTGATGTATCAAAAATATGTTTAATAAAAATTCAATTTTAATATTTTTTTAAAATTTATCCAATTTTTTTTTAAAAATAAATTTAAAATTGAATTTTTCTTAAACATAATTTAAAATTGAATTTTGAAGAATCAATCAAATTGTTGTTTGATCTATCAAATTCTTGTGATAGATCATAAACATTCATAAAATGTTTTTCACTATTGTTGTAAATTTTTTCACTATTATTGTAAATTTTTCACTAATATTGTAATTTGTACAATTAATGTGGTAATTTTCCTAAAACTCTTATAAATTTTTCATTAATGTTGTAACAGAACAATCATAAAGAGAGAGACAGAAAGTCCATGATCGATCAAACATATATTTGATCGATCATGGACTAGTAATGAATTTTTTGAAGTTGTAAAGATTTTCACAATTAGTAAACATACCACTGAAGTTGTATATATTCCCACAAATTTAATAAATATACTAATGAAGTTGTAAATATTCTTACAAATTTAGTAAATATTCTCACCAAATTTGTGGTGTAGAGAGAGACAGAAAGTCCATGATCGATCAAACATATATTTGATGGATCATGGACTAGTAATGAATCTATTGAAATTGTAAAGATTATCACAAATTTAGAAAATATACCACTGAAGTTGTAAATATTCTCACAAATTTAGTAAATATACCAATAAAATTGTAAATATTCCCACAAATTAAGTAAATATTCTCACCAAATTTGTGGTGTAAAGAGAGAGACAGAAAGTTAATGATCGATCATGGACTAGTAATGAATCCATTGAAATTGTAAAGATTATTACAAATTTGGTAAACATACCACTAAAGTTGTAAATGGATTCAGTACTAGTCCATGATCGATCAAATATATGTGTGATCGATCATAGACTTTTTGTCTCTCTCTCTTGCCGCCATTAAATCAATTGAGGGAAAAATTACAACATTAGTGGAACGGTTACGACTGTAATGAACAAAATTACAACATTAGTGAATATTTTACAACAGTAGTGAATAAAATTACAAAATTTGTGGAAACATTTACCAAATTTGTGAGAATATTTATAATTTCAGTGGTATATTTATTAAATTTGTAGGAATATTTACAACTTCAGTGATATGTTTACCAAATTTGTGATAATCTTTAAAATATAAGTATTTTATAATGTTTTTATAAAAATTTTGAAAAATATTTTTTATTGATTCGAACACGATATGAATATGTTACGATACGATACAATTGAGAGCTATTTAACATCATTAATGGATAGAATTCTTTTTGAATTATAAATATGAAATATTTAAACTTGAATAGTATAATTTATAATTAATCCAAAAATTTTTAACGGAAAAATGGACCAAGTTTGTCCCAAGTATACATTGATACAAATTTATATCTTTTAAAATATAAATAAAATTTGAGTGATATTCCTAAAAAAATATTAAATCTTTCAAGGTACAAAGACTCCAAAAAAAAAATAAAAAATACTAGCGTGAAACTTGTGTTGGCATACTCCCCAGCACCCATCGGCAGAGGTAGATAGGGGCAGGGTGGGCACGTGCCCCATCAATTTTTTTTTATTAGTTAGATATATGTATTATATATTTATACATATATATTATGTGTCTCTCATTTATATTAGACTCACATTATTTACTCAAAATACTTAAAAAATTAAGTCCATTTAAAACAAAAAAAGTTGAACTCATTATTATCTATCCAAACTTATTAAAAAATCAAATATTTGACTTATCACAATCCACTCAAACTTATTAAAAAACAGAACTTTTAGCCCAACATTAAAAACAAAATTTTTGGGCCACCATCATTAAAAATCAAAACTTTTGGCCTACTTGACTAAAACCTATCTTATCTTTTTTTTTTTTTTTTTATCTGTACCACTCACTCCTAGTTGCCCACTGCCCAGCCACAAGAAAAAGAGAAGAAACAGAGAAAAGTTCAACACACGAAAAACTCAGTTCCTTGAATTTTTTTGTCCTTCCTTGCACCAACCTATAAAATTATTTTATACATTATATTTACCCCATAAATTTTGGAAATTTTAATAATGGTTCTAGTTTTTTTTTTAATAAATTAGTGGACCTCTAACCCTCTAAAATAAATATGTTTGCTTTGAATTGAGTCAATATTTTATTTGTATATTGACGAGAATACAATATTTCTCTTTATCTAACACAGTATTCGTTACTTTTAAGGATAATTTTTAATTTTCATTTACCATTTTTTTAGTAATAGTAGTCTATAACCTAATAAAATACAAAAACTAATTTACATTTAAATTATATACAAAATTTTAGAAATTTTTATATTTTATTGAAATATATAATTAGGTTAAAATGTACTAAAAAATTATTTTGTGTCTTTTTGTTAAAATTTTATTTTGGTTAAATAAAAATTAAATTTACTATTTCACAATAATGTAGTGTTGATTCTTACTTTTTTTTTATTCTTAAATTGAATTTTTTTGTATTAATTTCTATTTAATATTTTTTTATATCAATTATATTTTACCTCTATCGTAGATATTTATGGCTCTGTCCTTGATAATATATATTTTTTTGTTTAAATTTTTTATGTTAAATGGACTTCATATATCAAATATAATATAATAAATATAAATATGTTATAGGTTAGAATGAAAAAAATTAGACCAGCCGCTTAACAAAAATTCCTGACGCTGCCCCCTGCCAGCACCCCGACCTTTCGCGCCTATAAATCACAAGTCGAACCACCCCAATAGACCGCTTCTCTCGCTTCTTCAAAAGTAGCAACCTCCCGAATTCTCTATACATTTCTGTCTCCTGAATTTCTACATTTACAGTTCTGTAATCCAATAATGGTTGTGACTGTCGGAGTTGAATCCATGTCCGGCCTATCCAACGTTAAAGTTACTGCTATAGTGTCGGATAAATTCGATTCCACCGCTGTGATTTCGGAGGCGTTACCGTCGGTGACGGTGTTGAACGGTGGGACGGTCAATGGCGATTCACGTGACGGTGGTGGAGAGTTCAGAAATGGGGTTTTAGGTGAATGTAGAGAGAAGAAGAGAGAGATAGTGTTGGGAAAGAACGTGCACGCCAGGTGCCTTGAGGTCACGGAACCGGACGCCAATGATGAGTGGACCGGTGATAAGGAGGCTTATATGGCCAGCGTGTTGGCTAGGTACCGGAAGACTCTCGTTGAGAGGACCAACCATCATCTAGGTAACAAGATATTTTCTTTCCCTCTCTTTTTGTTGTTTTATGTTTTATTTAGGATAAAATATATTTTTAGTCCTCAAAGTAGGCATGTAATAGTTATTTAGTCTCTAATCTTTCAATTATATCTATTTAATCCCTTAGATTTCTAAATTATATCTACATAATCCAATCCCAGCTCTGGTCACATATCAATCATATGAGACCAAATAGACACAAATTAGACATTTTAGGGTCTAAATAGACATAAATTAAGAACTTTAAAGACTAAGTATGCACTAAATTAAGAACAACGTGATTGACGTGTGGAAGTAGAACTATCAATAATAATTTTTTGACGGCTTTTGGGATTGAACCACTTAAATACAAATTAAAAATTTTAGGGATTAAATAAATACAATAAAAAATTAGAGACCAAACAAACAATAAACACGTATTTTGTAGAATAAAGGTGTATTTTATCCTTTTATTTATGTGTGCAAATGTTTAGACGTGTCAATCAGGTGAGGTCTAGTTTCTTTGATAGACACGTAGTAAGGTGGAAGTTTACCAAACAGACATATTTTCGGTGCACAAAACAGAAGTAGCAGTCAGTAATGTTTTCCAGATACCTGTCTCAGCTTCCAATTCTAATATCAGGGGTTCATATTGCTTCTTGATGTCGACTTGTTACAGGTTATCCTTATAATCTGGACTTCGATTATGGTGATCTAGCACAGTTGCAGCACTTTTCCATCAACAACCTGGGTGATCCTTTCATCGAGAGCAACTATGGTGTCCATTCCAGGCAATTTGAAGTTGGTGTTCTGGATTGGTTTGCCCGTTTATGGGAAATCGAGAAGAATGAATACTGGGGATATATTACAAATTGTGGTACGGAAGGCAATCTTCATGGAATTCTGGTTGGGTAAGTAGTGTTTTTGTTATTTTCTTTCTGATAAGTTTCCCACTCGAGTCTGTTACTTGTGCTTTAGCTGGCCAACGCTCTATTTTACAATTGAGAGTTTCTTTGATATCTGTTCCCGAATGGTTTTAGCATAAGTACTATTCAATTGTGCAGGAGAGAAGTGTTTCCGGATGGAATTTTGTATGCATCACGAGAATCGCATTATTCTGTCTATAAAGCAGCAAGAATGTACAGAATGGAATGTGTCAAGGTTGGCACGCTAGTCACTGGAGAAATAGATTGTGCAGATTTCAAATCCAAGCTACTTCCTAACAAGGACAAACCGGCTATCATCAATGTCAACATAGGTATAATCTCTTTCTCTGTCTCTCTCTCACAATCAGACCCTGTAACACTTGAATTGATTTCTGCTACCTTGTTTTGCAGGTACTACTGTAAAGGGGCTGTTGATGATCTTGATCTTGTTATACAGACCCTTGAAGAATGTGGATTCTCACCTGATCGCTTTTACATCCACTGTGATGGAGCTTTATTTGGGCTGATGATGCCATTTGTAAAACGTGTAAGTGGATCTGCATTTATACCACTGTTCACGTCTTGCACATGTATAGGCCTTTTTGGCCCATCATTTGTATGTTCACTTGGAGATTGTTGTGCGTATATTTTCTGTTGGCATTTCGGGTTAACAAGCACATGGCCAAAGGTATCCCCAAACGGGTGGTGGAGAAGGAAAGTTTAATTAACATAAATGGGAATCAAACAAATTATAGGTGCCACATCACCAAATAGAAGAGTTTACTTGTCATGCCTCCCACTCCCAGAATGCTTGAGCATTAATTAAAAAGTCTGACAAACGCATGCGACTCTGATGTTTCTGCTCAACCATTGATTTGAAAACTATATGGTAGAATAGTTGCTTTCATGCATGTGACTCATAAATACTTCAATAAGTACAACGAACGCATATAAGACTGCTTTCTCGTCCTGCTCTTGAACGATGGACTGTGCACCAGTATATCCCTTTTATCTCTATTGCTTTAACTGCTTTTTCCCTTGGCTCATTCTTCTAATTCTTCTTTTCATCCATTAAATTTATATGTTGGTTAATATAGAGTTCATTTCTGCTTCTTTTGCTTATTGGTCTCGGTTATGAACAGGCACCCAAGGTTACGTTTAAAAAGCCCATTGGAAGCGTGAGTGTTTCTGGTCACAAGTTAGTGGGATGTCCAATGCCTTGCGGTGTTCAGATAACAAGGCTCGAGCACATTAATGCACTCTCTAGGAATGTTGAATATCTTGCTTCAAGGGATGCCACAATCATGGGAAGTCGGAATGGGCATGCTCCAATTTTCCTGTGGTACACCCTAAACAGAAAAGGTTTCAAGGGGTTCCAAAAAGAAGTCCAAAAGTGCCTCAGAAATGCTCATTACTTGAAAGATCGCCTTCGAGAGGCAGGAATTAGTGCCATGCTCAATGAGCTGAGCAGCACAGTGGTGTTTGAGCGACCTTGGAATGAAGATTTTGTTCGCCATTGGCAACTTGCTTGTGAGGGAAATATGGCTCATGTTGTTGTGATGCCCAATGTCACTATTGAGAAGCTGGATTATTTCTTGAATGAATTAGTTAAAATGCGTTTGGTCTTGTATCAGGATGAGAAAGTGCAACCTCCTTGTCTTGCAGCAGATATAGGAAATGAGAATTGTGCTTGCCTTCTACACAAGCAATCTATTGGTGTAAATTGACTAACTGATAACCTTCGGGTTCTGCTGTTGTTTGTTGTGAAAGATTAGAATTTAATTCAGATGAGATCTCTCTTAGTGATTGCACTTTTTTAATAATGATGATTCTAGTTTTACTTTGAGATTTTATTCCACCCATGTGCCACGTGGGAATAGTTTTACATTGGCTCGACTAACGGATATCGGCCACTGTTATCGCAATATAGGTTGCTTTGACTAGACGCTCCACTAGAATTTTCTGTATAAAGCTGGGCTGATGCCCTCCTGCTAATGCAAATGCATCACTTGGTGCTTGTAGGAGCTACAACCTGATGTCTCTTATATACGACCTGATTTCTCTCATATACGAGTTTATTGTTGGGATTTAACACGTTTTAAACTCACAGACAAACACACATAATCGAAAAACAAACCAAAAACATAAACTATTAAGAAACAAGAAAAAACAAGACACAGATTTTACGTGGTTCGACAATTTGTCTACGTCCACGAAGTTACAGGAATTTCACTATGGAGAGGGATGAATACAGAGAGCGGCTGTACAAAACACCATAAACCCTAACATCAAAATAACAGGTTTTATATGTCCTGCGCATTGAACTACAAAACAGGCCCAAACTTTCGCTCCATGGTCCAAGCCTCAGAAAATTTCCCATTAAAAAACCATACAACATTATTCTGGATCGGGTCATCATCCGGATCAACACACAAATTAGATTTCACAAACGCCCAACATTTATTTCTGCCAAGAATTTAACCACATGTTGAATCACTTTTATTTTTGTTGACAGAAAAGGGAATCTCACAAAATTTTATGGCCAGAGATTCTGATTGTAGATTTAACCAATTACATTGTCCAAATTTTTGGCCTTTTAGATCTTCCTGCTTGCTTGTGCCATCAAATGGTAAATGCATAGATTTTTTAATACCATTTCAGAAGCTAGAAGCTTGTTTCTCCTTCAATTCATCTCCTCTCTCTATTCTACATTGCTCTTGTATTTGCATAAGAGCGCATGAGAAAAAAAAAAAACAGGGGTTTCCTGTTTGGCTCAGGTCTGTTATTTGCAATCAAACCCTGCGATTCTGAAAAATTTGAAATGCCTACAATTGATTGATCAAGTTATCTGGTGCAGGACTGCAGGAATAAAAATGGCATGATGATTGATAAATGCAAAAAAAGCTAGCACAGCATCTCAAGGGAGGGAACTACTTCAGACCAGAGAGCACATGTAGGCCGTCCTGAAGAGAAACATTCCAGGTGGTTGATTTTTATTTCTCACATGGAAGGGCATCTAGTTCAGTTGAATCACATGAGATGCGTCTTTTCAAAGTGCTTTCTTTGTTCGTTCCAAATTCTGATGCATGTTTTTATGAATTCATGATATGTAAGTGTTCTTAATTATATTTTCTAGATCCTTAATTTAGTTTTTCTATTTTAATCTCCCTAATTTAATAGTTCCTTGATGCCTTTATGCAGCTGTATCTAGCATATTTAAATGGTTGTCATTATGATATTGCAATTGGCCTTAAATTTCCCTTGCTGATTGCCTGATGGTGCAAGGTTGTGATGTTTATTGCCTCAAAAGGACAAAGTAGTGAGTGGATCGCATGGGGATCAAAACCCTAGGCAGAGCGGAATGATGAAATTTAATTCATGTACCCCCTCCAATTCCTTTTTCCTCTATTTTCTTCCTTGGTAGATCATTCACCATGTGTTAGCGAGGGACCTATTCATTTACATTAGGTCCTACTACCACTTGAAGATATTGGGGAAGATCTTTCGAGGAAAAATATATTTTAGAAGATCTCCCTCCAGATACCTATTTGTAAGGTTAACCAAGTTCTTGAAACAGTTAACAACCCTTTCGGTTCTTCTCTCTCCGTGAGTGTAGAATCAGTGAAGATCAAGTTCAGACAGGTTTTTTATTCCTTGAAATTAATACAAGTGCTTGCTTATTTTTAAGTAGTCATCGTCTGTGAGTGGTTTGAGATTGACCGGTTCAACTATGGGTTTAATGCCGACAGTATTTTCCTTATTACAAAGCAGATGTACGATGGAGAAGAGGATATGCTGAGTTTTTTTTTGGATCATAGGATAACCACAATATGATTGGGTACTTCTTAAAACAAATGCTTTAAAGTGGCTTCACTATGATTGGGTACTTGTTCCTTGGCATCCGGACAACTGTTGGCTGGACTGAATCATCTTTCTCCAAAGGACTCCACCTGCAATGGGAGTTACAATGTCAAATTAGAAGCGTAGCTTTGGATAAATTGGGAAAATTTAGCCATATCTTTTAGCTAGACAAAATATGGAAAGGTGTTCTAAATTGCGGATGAAATCGTTCTGATATAGTTTTAGTTGATAATTGGATTATTGAGGTCCCCTTACTGGGTAGTATTTCATATTCAAGGTATAATATGCAAGGCTATGAGGAAGCTCCAGCTGGTTAATTCTTTCCCACCTGCGAAGTCCTTAAAAGATAATTCATCTTACTTGTATCTGCAGACAAGATGATGAATAAAGACCAAAATTTCCAGCTTGGCCAGGTTGATTCCAGGACACATGCGTGGTCCGCTTCCAAACCCAAGGAAGCTAAAAGGCTTTAAGGGTTCCTGCAGTTGATCCATAAAATCATATCTCATCGTCCAAATGAAAGGGAAGAAAATATTATGTTCATTGATGAATTGAGACTACGGAGAAGTTACATCAAATCTAGAGGGATCAAACTTCAGGGGATCAGGAAAAACTGCTGGGTCATGGTGAATAGAAACCACATCCAAATTGATTGACCAGCCTTTTTTGATTTTGCACCCTGAAATATTAGTGCAGTTTCATCATTTAATGTATAGCAGGAAATATCAGTGTAGGATGTTAAGTTGGAAAGCTCATACCATCGATCTCAAAGTCTAGTGCTGCTTTTCTTGAAAACCAAGGAAGGATTGTGGCTATTCGAAGAGTTTCATTAATCACCTGAAAATGACAAGAATTGTTGAATTGGGTAAACTTTGAGTTGGGTAGATATAGGTATCATACCAAAACTTTATGGGCGTGCAGCTAACCTTCGTGGTGTAAGGCATGTTGTTGATTTCAGACCAGGTGAGACTAGATCCATTCTTTCTGCTACCTTGAATTTCCATGTGTTCCTCCTGCAAATCCAGCGTAAGGTTCTCATTCTCGATCTTCAACAGGAAATTCTAGTGATGCTGGATGTTAAGCAAATATTACTCTGAGACGTTCCAATGCAGCTGGATTTTCTTCAAGGAATTTGATAACCCATGTTAGAGCAGCAGTTGTGGTATCATGACCTGCAACTAGCAGGGTCAAGATGTTGTCCTTCAATTGCGTATCTGTAAGTTTATCATCTTCTCCTTCTGATGTATCCTTGCAGTGCTTCTTTATCAGGGATTCTAAGAAATCTTGTCGGAAGCTCTCTCTATTTCTTCGTTTGAAATTGTTGTATCTAACATGTCGTACATCCGATCACGTGCCTGATTTGATGGAATACAATCTCAGTACTATTTCTAAAAGTCTTTCCTTCAGATCTAAGTTGCAGCATATCCTAAATATAAGTCCTTGTGTTTGTTCATTGTGATCAACTTACTGAAATGTTACCTTGATACCACGGTAAAGAGTGGTTCCTGGGATTTTTATCGGCAAAGATGCAAATGAGGAAGAATGACTTTGAAATTGGCCCGGAATTTTTCTTGCTCCTCCCCAGTTGGTTCTAAGCTCATTATCATGTTGCCTATTACCTTTAGTGTGAACTGCAAAATTCAAATATATTCAGTCGTATCTCAAGAAACAACCTTAGACTATGTACTTTGATGTGTTAAATCAATTATCAAAACTTTACTGTGGAAGCCTCTTCATGAACCAAGACTGTTCGTCCAGGCCACTGATCTAATGTTTCAATTGCCAAATTGTTGATGAACTGGAAATATTTTTTCAGGCCATCAACAGATAGGGGCTCGGCAATCAACCGCCGAAGACGCTTGTGTGCTTCTCCAGTCTGTTGGAGCAAGCTAGTTGGGCCAAGCACCTGCTTTCCAGCATAGAAGAGGTTCAAGCTCACTATTCCATCTTTGCCTGTTAACAGAATCTTGGCTGCTTCCCTCCCAGTCATGAAGACGGTAAGTCTCCCCAAAACAGAACTCTTAAACACCTTTCCATACCTAATGGTGAGATTTGTTATATGAGACAGTAAGATTGAAAACAAATTGTTTTGATTTCTGGTTTTTGCATAGATATTTTTGATTGCCTACCTCT